TTAAAATATAAAGTGCAGGGAAATGAAAAAGGTAAGATTCATACAGTGTTGCTTATATACTATAATTTTTATAATTTAATATGATGTGTATGTTTCATGTGCATTATCACACAGACAGAAGGAGCGATGCAGCTAAATTAACAGTACTCTGAGAAATGTAAAGTCAAAGTATGCAAGAGTTATCACTGCAAACTTAATGTTGGATTAATAGTTTTTATACATTTATTTTTTCTTTAAGAAAAAATAAATTGTTGGTGCTTAATGGTAGCATATAAATGGTCCAGTTGGGCTCTGGAAGCTGCACATTACTGAGTGAACAGAGAGGAGGGGCTGGGCTGTGATTGGATTTGGGGTATAACAGGGTGTGCTCTGCTCCTGCCTTTTCACACCACAGAAAGCGGATCAGACTCTACTGGTTGTGTGTTCACAGTGCCATTTTTTAGAGTTCCCTCCAGCAACACCACTGCAGTTCCCATGCAACAGTCTATTTACAATACCTTCTGTGCTTTCGGCCCTCTCCTGAGGACCTGAGCGTAGCAGAGGTCTCCCTTTCCTGAGGTCTTGGTGTATGTCTAGAGGGGAATATAAAACTCACAGTTGGCCCAAGTCAGCTGACACAGGCCAGCCACGGCTGTGCCACAGGTCTTTTATCCCTGTGTAGACATACCCTGTGAGACTGGGCTCGGCTAGGCCTTCCCTCTATCCCTGCACTTCCTTCCTGTGTCTCCTCATCCTTCTGGGCTGATGAGCTAATTGGCTCTTTATCTCACCCTACCCACCAGCCTGATTTTCGGACTACCTCAATCAGCTTTCTGCAGGGGAACGAATTTGTGTCTGAGTGACAAGAGTACAGGCTCATCTGTTCACTCCCTGCACTTGGTCACAGGGGGCCTGACACTATTTTGGCACTTCGGAAGAGGGGAAGCAGCACGGAAGGAGCTGAACATGTGGCCCAATATTTATACTCAGTTGAGCTGATAGAGTTACAGTTCTCCTCCCTGTTGGATATTTTCCCTGACAGCAAACCCACCACCTTATACTCTACTTAAATAAATAGAAGAAAGCTTCTCTGTGTGCTAAATTCCAAAAACAGGCCCTGATCCTCAATTCTCTCATCCTCCAAAGTCCTGTAGACCATGGAGATTTGGATATGCATAGACTTCACTGAGCCATGAGGACTCAGTCCTGCAGTCCTCACTCTAAGAAAACTTCCACTGAAGTCAAGGAAAGTATTGCCTGCATCATTAATCCATTAATGATTCTCTCATGGCAAGTCCTATAGCTCCATTTCTATGTCAATTGAGCCTTTGGCCTCTCTATTGAGTTTGCCAACAAAGGTGTCAAATGAGATGGTATTTATGCCATTCTTTAGCATTAAATTCCACAATTTCAAAATTAGTTTTCATTCCCAATGGGAAGTTTGAAGTTTCCAGCAAAATGAAATTTTTGGAAAACTTTAGTTTCAGATCAATCGAAGTGCTTCATTTCAATAAAATTTAAATATTTAGATAAAAATCAACCTTTTGATAGTGTTTAGTTTAGATGGCCTTATTTTTATATTTATAATATAAAATAACAAAATGAGCAGTTATATCTAAATGAAAAATTGAAACATTCCATTCTAATAAGGTCAAAACGCTTTGTTTTGATTTTTCCTAAATGAAATTTCATGGAAATAGTCACGTTCCCACAGAAAGTTTGATTTCAACAAAATGGCATTTCCAGTGGGAAAATTTTGCTTCTGAACATTTTCAACCAGTTCTAGTAAAGAAGATAATGCTGTATTTTTCATGCAGAACAAAGTAGCTGAATCCTTACCTTAAGTACAAACTGGAACTCACCTTTAAGACACAACCAGTACCTCCATAACTCAAGATATTAGCTTGAATTTTAATTAAAGCTATAGTAAGAATTGGCAGATATGATTCTGTAATAGCTATTTGGCTTTCTTTTCACAAGGCCTCAAATATTATAAGCTAAAATTCACCTTGGTGTTTTTCATGAAGAAACCATCAACTTGTGGTTGTACTTTGTAATGGTAAGGTATCCATCAAGAAACAGTTTTAATAAGCAAAACTGCATAGCCTGCAGTGATGCACCAAACATTTGAGAAATAACTTAGATACCTGTTAGCACTAGGGTGCTCATCTAGTGTGACCAATAATTAATGTTAATGATAGTCATGCAGACATTGAAGAGAGAGCAGACCTCAGATCTGCTACTCATTATTTTACAAAGTAAAAAGTGCCATCTGCATTTTAGGCCCTTTTAATCTAAAGCAACTAAGGAAAGATAAAATGAAAGATCAAAGCTAAACAGGAGGCTGTATGGACACTTAAAACAACTTAAATTTTTGAAGTCAAGCATCTGCCAATCCTGTAATCAAATTAGTAACAATATTGTTATGATGTAGGTCTTATCAGGAAAAGTATTTGAAGTGGTTATTTTTTTAAACTTTGCAAGTCTTATTCATGTGTGTCTTGACCCTGTACCACTGAGGTCAGTGGCAACCTTCCCATTGACTTCAGTAGGTGCAGGATGGTGAACCTATTGTAGTCACTGGTTGGAATACGCACTGCAGAACTGGAAGGCGTCTATGTAAAGACAATATTTGATCAGATGGTTTCATTGTATGAAGGAAAACAAAAAACAATTACAATGAAATAAAAATATGATAAGTACATTATAAAATCATATTCACTGTACCATAACACATTAAATTTGTTCACTGCTTTATCCTGTGAAGCTCAGAGAAAAAACTGAATAGAAAAAAAAAAGTCATATGAAATAGATACTCAATATGTAACAGAAGACCATCACAGCACTATAAAATCATCATCATGTAACAATGGCATCCATCTCTAATTGTTTCAGCAATAGAGCTCCCTTCATGCATCCCCATTCCATAGTCAGGGGTCAAATGGTTCTGCACATAAATACTAAATGGCAAACTTGGGGAACTCTTCCTTTTTAATTGAGCTACAACGTCAGTTAACCCACTGTCCCAGTTTTCTATTCTGGGAGATGTAGATGACTCCCAAGGTATTAGCATCAGACATTTTGCTAACAGGGAGGCTCATAGGATAATGCACTCTGGTGAATCAGTAAGTGAAAGCTTTGAGTTAATGAACCCAGATATAATAATTCTGGGGCAACAAAAGGCCCTAATGTTAAAGTAAATTCCTAATAAACTTTTCCCACAAGCTCCTAATGTTTTGATGGCTCCTTAACTGTGTAGAAATTACACATCAGATCCTTTACACCTCTAGTTATGCATTTCTTGAATGCTCTACTTCGGATATATAGTTTCTAATCCAATGCATTCATGAAATACTTTGGAAAATTGTACAGTCATTCAATGAGGTCTTTTAGTGCATGACATTCAATATTGTTCCATAGTTTTGAGGTCAAACATATCCCTAATTGCTGGCTCCATTTATGTTCCAGTGCCTCAATACTCCTTTTCCCTCTCTCCCCTCCTGACTTCCCCACCTCCCACCCTTGGTCAATACCTTCAATAAATTAGTCAATCTTGAAACAGTAAAGTTTTTCCCATAAATTTTGTGAAGTCTGGAGATTCTTGGGCTGCTGTTGGGACACATTGATTAATCAGTGTCTAATCTGTATAATATAACAATTTAAAAGGTGAATTGCAAAACTATAATGAAAACTAAGGTAAGCACAGATCTCTGTACTGACCTTCCTCCATTAGTCAGTGGAAGATGGGTGCGTTAAAGATAGAAATCTTTTCTTAATTTAATTTTCATTTCAGTTTTACTGGGGGGGGGGGGGGATGGTTAAGTAGAAGGTAAACTCAAACATTATTTCTGAACCTGAGCATGCCTGGGTTTGGTTTAACACTATTCATTCTCCTCCACACAGGGTCTCATAACTATTTACCAGCTGTCACCTAAAAGCAACATACTACAGAGACCTAATGACATAGGACCATACAGGCAACCTCAAAAAAGCAGTTTCTCTTTTGTGTGGATGAGCCTTTTTTCTCCCAAGAACCTGTATTTTGGCTAGTCTCCCATTTCCCCATACTGCAATCTGTGGATTAACACCAGACTGGCCTAGAATCTCCAGAACTTCACTCCTCCTTTCTGAGGCCATCAGAAAGTCTGTAGAGTACATATTAATTTCATCCGAGCTGCACAAATCCCAGATGCTGACACCCTTTCCCATGGACGACAAGACATGACCCCAAGGTTAACAGGGCCACCCCATGTCTATCGTGCATCACCGATTCCCTGGTTTCTACACCAGCAGCAGTTATTCTACACCAGCAGTACCAATTAACGGTAGATGCCGCCGGATACTAACAGCTGTATTGGGAATGGGGTCTCTTATGGCAGCAGATCAAAGATGAGAACAGATATAACATACATCAACAACAGAGCTTTCCCCCTCTTTATTTAGGCATATCAGACTTCAGGAAGTTACATTTTAGCAATCTACTGGAACCTTAATATGAAGGGGTTTTCATAACTTTTCCAGCATTTAAGATCCATTATCAAGACACATACACCTCCTTCAAAAGATATCAACATTCCAACTTGTTGGAATCTTCATTGTTCAAATTACCAAGTACAAGGGACATTTAAGTGGGACTTTTGGAATATAGGTGTCATGTTTGGAAACTCAATACTGAATCAGCACTGATAATAACTGAACCAACCAACCAAACACACACACACACCCCTCCAGTAAACTTAGCTGAAGTCCTAGTAACATTTCAGAGCTTCATTCTCTGTTGGAAACCCTGGACATGTCTTTACTCTGTTAAAACAAAACCAAAAAAGCCTTGAAGTGTAAATACTTCCCAATTGATAGGGAAGTTATTAGCAGGCTTCTAGAAGCAGATGCATTTCTAATCCGAACTGTGCACAGACAAATCTCTAATAGGCCCCCCATCAAACACCTCATACAATTTATTGAAGATGGTGTGAGAGAGATTTGTGGAAAGGGTGGCTAAACGAAAATGAGACTGGACTTACCTACAGCAGTTCTGAAGTCTCAGTGGAGTAGCACTGGGTCACATTACGTAAGCAATGCATTATCCTAGCAATCTCTGCAGGTCCGGGTTCAAACGGGGATCTAATTCAGAAGTGAACAGAGTTTGCTGCTAGATATCATGCACATCTGACTGAACTTCAGACATAGCTCTGTCATCCCAGTTTCTCCACATAACCTACCAAATGTTTTGGGGAACTGCTGCCATTTAGCTCAGATGAATTCTTAAGACAAAACAAAGAACCAAAAGCAAGAGGATTTAGAGATGTCTGGTGCCTATGGAATTGCAGCAACATCTCTAGGCAAGGTGAGCAACAGATCTAATTACTCTCCCTGTTCTAAGTGAGAGAGGTGGGTGAAGTAATATCTGTTATTGCCCCAACTTCAGGTAGAAGAGTCAAGCTTTTGAGTGTCTCAGAGCTCTTCTTCAGGTCTGGAAAAGGTAACTGAACACTTGTCTCTCTCACAAACTGAAGTTGGTCCAATAAAAGATATTACTTCATCCATCTTGGGGGTCTCATACCCTGAGATCAACAGGGCAACAACACCACTGCAAACTGCTTGCTCTAACACAAGCAGGCAGAACCGTGACAAAGAAAAATTGTAGCTGCCACTGGTGCTCCACACCATGGCAGAGCCTTGCCCAGGGGACCAATGCCCAGTTGCCCAGCATCCACCCGAGGTCTGCTTATGAATGAAGACAATGGAAAGGGCTAATACAGATTAAATTGCAGCTGGGACACATGCAGAATTCTCATGCAGCCCACCTGCAATGAAAGGGCACATGAGGGCTGGAAAACTAGCTTAGATTGTAGCCCAAAGATCACAGCAGTAGAGGTTACATTGCTCTTGTTTTCCCGGTAAACATTGCTTTTCCCTCTTTATTAGGTAATAGCAGAGTAGGATTTTTGGTTACTCGCATAGGAGCAAATTCAGGTCCCCTCTCCTGGGAAAGTCCTTCTTCAGCAAAGCCACGGTGTTTCCATTGATAAGGGGTGTGTGTGTGTGTGTGGCATATAGGGGATACAACATCCTGCAGATTGTAGAGGGCTGAGGGAGTCAGCTCTGCATCATTCCCTCATTCTCACTCCACTGGAGAGGGGCAACATAAGGGATTCAAAGCCCACACCAGAAGATCAGTGCAGCTGCCACAGATCATCCTAGGAGCTGCTCCATGCCTAGAAGATGGAAGGTTCCCTCCACCACACTTCTGCCTATTGCCACCACAGTTGCTTCATCATACTGTATAAGCAATGGGGATTCTCTGGTTTCCACAGGTACTGTAACAAGGAAGGAATCATAATCCCTGAGCTAGTCAGCAAATTTTGACAAAAAAACAAATTAAATTTTCCCCATTTTTAGATCACTTCTAGCCCATTCTAGCAATCTATATGAGCCGCCACACAGAGATTTTTCTTAACAGGGAAGAAGTATAAATATCGAAATCATTTCCTCATGAAAAACAAGGTGGAAAAAAATCAGTAAACAAAGTAGTAAAGAGGCTAACAGAAAATGTTCTTTCCCCCTTACTGATGTTTTCAACTTTTTACTGGAAACGGGGGAAAAAACTGAAAAAACAATGTTTTTTCAATTAAATTTTTTCACAGTTGTGGTTTTCCAATGATAAAAATCTGAAAATAGTCAAAAAAGCAGATACTTTGAGAATTTTCACTTTGTTGAAAACCCCGTTTCCTATCCACAAAAGTTTTAACATAAAATTTTCAGCCCTACTAACAATGCATCCTGGATGCAAAGTCAGGAGCATTCTGTAGTACTGACATCCATTAGCATTTCATGAGTCTTCCTTTGTTTACCACAATACAGTACGGGATACAAGTTACTTGGATTTGTTGGATAGGACAACCTTCTACTTCTAAATCAGAGGATGAGAGTTTGTTGGCATAACCAAACTAACAAGTCAATGACTGCAGGTGATTCTGCATATTTAATAGAGCTAGTTGCATAATTGGTAACTAAGAAAGAATTAATTGAATGTTGTCTCTTTCAGAATTGCTTTATTTGAAATTTGCTAAATAATTTCTGTAAGTGACTCTCTGCAGCTAATTTGTGAGTAGTTCACTGTGAGTGTTTAATCATCCAGTATCAGAAATCTGAACTGTTTTCACTGGATGTGTTGTTTATGGGGTAAATTTTTCTTCTCATATCAGATAAGTGTTAACTATTAAAATCAGAAATATAAGTGATTACGAAAGGAAATTTGTTTTATTTGAATATGCTGTTGCATTTGCTTATACTTTGCAATTTTAGGGAACGTTCCTGCCAGTGAACCCTTTTTCTGCAAATGTTCTAGAAAATGGAGCCTAGTCAAGCCAATTTTTGTCTGAAAATGTGAATAGTAGAAGAGATTTCTTTGTGTTATTTGCCCAGCTCTATACAACAAACACCACCAAAATGCACTCACACTGAGGTCTGATTCTGCCATCTGTTATAAGTAGACAGGCCCCTGCATCCACTGGCTTCAATGGGGCTCTGCATAGGTGCAGAAGCCTGCCCACACAGCACAACTTGCAGGATGACGAGCCTTAGCATCTAGCCTATTTACTGATTTCAGCAAGAGCCTCACATTATTTTGAATTGTCATCGGTAAAACAAAGCTATTTTCCTTCTTTGTATGTTACTATTCAATATTTTCATTAATGACTGGATAATGGAGTGGAGACTATGCTTATAAAATTTGCAGCTGGCACCAGGCTGGAAGGAGTTGCAAGCACTTTGGAAGACATGATTAAAACAACCTTGATAAATTGGAGAATGGGTCTGAATTTAACAAAATCAAATTCAATAAAGACAAGTGAAAAGTACTTCACTTAGGAAGGACAAAATGGGGAATATGCACAACCACAAAATGGGGAATAACTAGCTAGGTGGTAGAACTACTGAAAAGGATCTCAGGGTTATATAGTGTATCACAAATTGAATGTGAGTCAACAATGTGACACAGCTGTGAAAAACGATAATATTCTGGGTTATATTAACAGCAATGGCGTACATAAGATGCAGGAGGAAATTGTTCTGTTCTACTCAGCACCGATGAGGCCTCAGTTGGAGTACAATTTTGGATGCCACACTCCAGCAAAAATGTGGACTAATTAAAGAGAGTCCAGAGGAGAACAACAAAAATGGTAAAAAGTTTTTTAAAAACTTGACCTACGAGGAAAGGTTAAAAAAACCTGGGCTTGTTTAGTCTTTAGAACAGAAGATTAAGGGGGGACCTGACAACAGTCTTCAAATATGTTAAGGGCTGTTATAAAGAGGACAGTGACCAATTGTTCTCTGTGTGCACTGAAGGTAGGACAAGAAGTAGTGGGCTTAATATGCAGGAAGGGAGATTTAGGTTAGATATTAGGAAAAATTCTCTAACTAAAAGGATATAGGCTTCCAAGGGAGTTTTTGAAATCCCCATCACTGGATGTTTTAAAAAACTGGTTGGACAAACACCTGCCAGGGATGGTCTAGGCTAGATTTCTTTGGTCCTGCTACAGGGCAGAAGACTGGACTTGATGACTTCTTGCAGTCCCTTCCAGCCCTACATTTCTATGATTCTAAGTTCTTAATCTTCCTGGATCTTTTTTTTTTTAATCCAACATAGCAATCATGAGAATCATTCTGAACCACTGATACTGTATCACCTACTGAAATAAAATCTTTGCATTACATATTACATGGTGCCCCTGCTACACATGTGGCAAGCCTTACAAAAATCTTTGTCTAATTGTGAAAGACTACTGTTAGAAAACATTTTCATCACTGGCATGTTTAATTGAGCTCCTGAGAGGCAGTATCAGTAAGACTCAGGGATAAATAACCAGTAGTCCCATTGGTCTCACCAAGAATCCATTGATGTTTCATAAATCCTAGTCAGTACAAATCTAATTGAGTTACCGTGCTGAATTAGCTTACATCTAAATGGCATTCATGTCTACAAATGGAATAATTAGAGTCTAGAAAATGGGATATATCAAGTGCTATCCCAAGTGACAACAGCAAGACATTTGTATTCATTCAATCAGCTGCTTTAAAAAAGCAGATGTAATACTCGATTTGGGGGTTGATGATTAGACAGTGTTACTGGGTCTAGCAATAATGCTAGACAGAGTGTGTTAACTATTTCTCTATGCTTACCTATTTATATTTACGCTAAGAGATTCTTCACTCTGATTCTCTCAGATTTTTCTTTACGATGTAAAGTAGTTATATGACTAGTTAATCCCTACTTTATTTCCAGGGTGATGAAATCAGCTATACTCATTAGTGATGTTCTTTTCAAAGCTAGAATTCTAAGACGAATACCAAATGCACCATTAAATAACAGTTTGAAAAGTCTTTCATCATCCATTAATATTTTTTCCTTCAGTGCTGCATGAATCTGTTTTTACACAGGAGAGCATGCAACTGGTCTATTCATATTGTGATTTGTTTCCTCGCCTTCTTCTATATTAAATATAAAAATATACTGCCACTTTTGTGGGATAAACTCCAGATCACTGTCCTGACATTACCTGGAGTGCCAGTAAGTTCTTAGAATATAGAATGAAATGTATTAAATATCTTTAGTTGGTTAGTTAGAAACTTAGGCTTCATTTGAAATCAATATAAACTGTGTCTATATCTTAAATTATATATTAATACTAGCATTGGATGAGCATCTTAGCCATGCTGGATAATGGATTCCTTTAATTCAGAAAGTAGTCTAATTTGCATGCATATTTTATTTATTACACCAATTAAGTTTTGCAAATAGTTTGCAATGAGGTCCCGATGACCTCATAATTCACAATTACTCCTGGGATATCCTGCCCACTTTAGCACGTTTTGAATAATATTGCAATCTCCTTGAGAAAATAATGCATTTTTTACATGATGGATTTATTAAGTACGCACACACCTTGTTCTTAACCAATTTTACTCGATGCATGGTTACTGGAGCTACTTCACAGATCTTTGTGGTGTTGCTAATGAATGCGTTTCTTCAACAACCTACTTTTCCAAACAAATGAATATTACAGGGCAAACCCATCTCAGTTACACCAAGTAACTTCAGTGGAGTCACTC